GCAACGCCACAGCCTGTCACTGCAATACACGTCTATAACTCAATGCCATACGTCCGTTACCATGGAGACAGCAGGCGGGTCACCTACATGCACAAAACACCAGGACCCCGTGCATCAGAAATACACTTAGAAGGGCCGGAAATCACGGCTTAAACCGCGCACTTTACGTCCAACATCCCCAACTAAACCACACAAGTGCTCTGGTCACACACATAGCATCGCCCACTATGTACTCGCTCACCTGAAGCCGGCCAGCTAGCAGACAGTAGGACGCCATTTTGTTCACTGACAAAGATGAGGCCACGTGGGGTAAGGCGTCACCACATTCGTTCTTATATAGAATGTGTTGTGGGCGTGGTTCCTACAGACAGAGGGGCGTGAAGGAGAAGGTCCTAGAAGAGGAGTATAGCTGGTGCTGGCAATGTATATCCATCAACCATTCTAAACAATACCATAGACCTTCCACTGGGATTCAGAGGAACATGATTTAGGAGAATGTGTGGGAAGTTTGGTGTGTTTTTACCTCATCCCTATTAGTTGTGCATAGTGCACCATCTACCTGCTAGGACGGGCTGAGTGACTGGAGCACATGAAGGTGACCACTTGTGCCCTTTAGTCACGTGTTCTTCTGTCACAGAGTGGAATGTGCTGTTACTTATTGCGGATGGGGACAAATAAAACCATTAGTTATCTCATGGAATTTGTTATTGTTACATAGTTCTTCTACCGTGCCAACAGTGTGTCCAGCATGGTACTTTGTTACCATATGTTGTGGGGAGTCATTTTCATGCACTTTAACCACTTGCCCTCCAGAGGATTTGTGAGATCTGTGTTGTTTATATAGCGGTCTCTGCCCCTTCAGAGATACTTGGCAATCACCGGGTGCCTGCGAGTAATAACCAGCTGGGACCCGGCGATTGACAGCCGAGGCCATGAATGGCGGTTCAGAACTGCAAAATCACATATATATATATATATACACACACACACACACACACACACGTGATTTTGCGCACCAGTGATGCCCTGTAGCAGTATTTTTGCTATAGCACGGTGCAGAACTGGTTAAAAATTATCAATGATCGGTGTGTGAACATGTCTATATATGTATGTGTGTATTTAAAGTGTAAGCTCACCTTTTCAGAAAAAAATTAAACAGTGAACTAATACCGTACACCCTCCTCTCCACTGTACTTGCCTTTGTGGGCGATGAGCGGTCAGTACCCATGCCAGTTTAGCAGTCTGTGGATTTAAAATCCCCACTCTTCTCCCTCTTTCTGCAGGGCTCCTGGGATGGATCAGAGTGATTCTGACTAGTCAGTGCCAGAACAGAGCATTGCTCTGATCTGTCCCAGAAGAGCTGCAGAAATAAGGGGGAGAAAAGTGGAGATTTCAGATCCCCAGACCACTATGATGGCATAGGCTTTGACAGCTCATCACCTACGAAGGTATATACAGCGGGGAGACCCTGTACGGTGTTAGTTCACCTATTGTGAAAACCTGAACTGACCCTCTAAAAAAAAAAACAAAACAAAAAAGTGAACAGATAAAAGGACTTGAGGAAACACGTTACTTAGAGGTGTTGATACACCATCCACCATGTTTGCTTTGCTGCTACAGATTAGACAAACTTGTAGGCAGTAACCTGCACAGGTGAAGAAGCCCATCACCATACACTGTGGGAGTTCAAGGATAAGTTCACCACCTTTTGGACAAAAAAAATTAAATGCACATTTTTTTGCAGGCAAAAAAAATGTGCATTTATTATTTTTGTCCAAAGGAGCCTGTAAAGCATTGCACCAGCGATCAGTAGATCGCTGATGCCATGCAGGTCTCCTGCAGACCTGTCAGAATATCTGCTTGCCATACGGGATGTATGGTCAAGCAGATATTCTGACAGGAAGCTTGAATGAACTACCCGGCGCTCCACAGCGCCCTGGTAGTTCATTGAAAACTACAAGCTGACAGCCGCTAAGGCTGCCATGACATGTAGGTACTCATTCACAGAACTCTGTCAATGAGCGACGTCGCTGTGTGGGCGGGTGGAACATGTAACATGTTGCAAAGGTGATCTTACCCTTTTAATCGGTGTTGAATGCAAAAAAATGAAGATTCCCGCATCCACGCAAGCTGGGGGGGGCTACATATGGATCAAAATTTGTCTTGTTCATGATGAAACTGGCCAAATTAGGGTACGTGTGCACCCGGCTTAAGAACAATAGAAGGGATTTTTTTTTAGAGTTAAGAATACACACTTAAATAGAATATATAGTATTTTTAAATCAGAGTTTAGTGTCACTTTAAAAAAGCCTGTCCTATCCTAAAAACAAGGATATAGCTGGGGAGAGTGAGGGGTACAAGGGTTGCAGCAGAGAGCCTTGGACACGGGGGGGGGGGGGGGGGGGGGGCAGAGATTAGCTGTGAAGAAGAATGCTGTTGCTATGGGTGCAGAGGTGAGCTGAAGTGGGGGATTGATGTGGAAGAGCAGTGGCCCCTTGGATGGGGTGGGGGAGAGCAGAGATGAGCTGTGAAACAGGGACTGTGGATGTGGGTGCAGAGGTGAGCTGGAGTGGGGGATTGATGTGGAAGAGCAGTGACCCTTGGATGGGGTGGGGGAGAGCAGAGATGAGCTGTGAAACAGGGACTGTGGATGTGGGTGCAGAGGTGAGCTGGAGTGGGGGATTGATGTGGAAGAGCAGTGACCCTTTGGATAGGGTGGGGGAGAGCAGAGATGAGCTGTGAAACAGGGAGGCTGTGGATGGGGTGCAGAGGTGAGCTGGAGTGGGGGATTGAAGTGGAAGAGCAGTGACCCTTGGGTGGGGTGGGGGGGGAGAGAGTGCAGAGATAACCTATGGAAAAAGGGAAGCTGTGGATGTAGGTGCAGAGGTGAACTGTAGGGGGGAGGGATGCAAAAGTAACCTGCAGATAGGGAGCATAGAGATGAGTCATGTATAGGGGTGCAGAAGCAAGCTGTGGATAGGGGTGCAAACGTGAACTGTGGACAAGGATGCAGAGGCGAGCTGTGGATAGGTGCAGATGTATGCTTTGGATATCAGTACAGAAAAGCATATGTAATGGAGTTTTGTCTCACCGTTTCTGTTTAGTATTGCCTTGCTGTGAAACAGAATTATTAAACTGTCCCTATACTATTTAGGTCAGTATTGCAGTCCACCTTACCAGACACAAACAACACAGAAGGGCATCTCTGTGTCCAGCAATGTGTGGTGCAGACCTATGCTGCATTTCATGGATATAACTTTGGAAGTCATCTTATGCAATCCGATTCACAAAACTGTTGTGGGCACCTAACTGCATCTCTTTAGACACAGCTTTGTGCCTTTATGTACAACCAAAGGCTCTAAACAAGTATCAAATCCAGTTACAAAGTGATGCAAAAGCCTCATAAAGAAAATTATAACCTTGCTTTACCTTTCCTAATTGTGCTACCATCACCTTCACACTCTCTCCCAGACTCTGCAGCTCACAGTGGGAGGCTTTCAGCAATAAAAAAAAAAGTAGTGGACAGGACTAGGTGTGGTCAGGTGCTAATTGACAAGCTATATAACTGTGAATAAGCAATGACACTGATGATAGTAACATCATCTGGAAAAAAAAAACTGCATGCAAATGCAAGCAAGCACAGTCTACAAGAGAGTGGCAATGGTGCTCTGAATTCAGGAGCAGTGCATTTTTGCTGCCACGCCCTCACAGGAAGCTGCATTAGGTGAACTTCACTGGCAGGATCAACAGATATTTGAGGGACTTTGCAGTGGCCGAAAAGAAAACTAGGTTCAGATGAACCTATAATTAGGTACTACACCACATATTTTTAATGGAAAGCCATAGTTCTATTTTAACACTTAAAGGAAACTTGGAGTCTGGCACTGCTGGTGTGCAGAACAGGCATTGAAATGAGGAGTTATCACTGCAAGCTGACTTATCTGGCTTCAGGTCTGTGAATATACTGAGGGAGAACAGACTATTTTTCTCTGTATAGGTTTGTTTATATACACTCTGTCAGCTCAGGTTTACTAGTATAAGGAAGAATACCTGTACAAGAAAAGAGAATATATTTTGTTTTTTGATACTTTGCTGCTTTCTGTCAGCTGAAAGCATTCCACACCTCCAGACATATGGAATACCTGCTCCCCCACCGTACAGTGTGCTTCCTCCTGCCACACAGACACACACATCACTACAGGACATAGGAGCTGACAGAAGGAACCACAGCATGCAGCAAGGGGACCTCTGAGTTCCAAGATTCAAGTTTAATGGTCCAAATTCCAAGTTCAGAATACTAAGATCGGTGTTCAAAGTTCCAAGATCCAAATTCCAAGTTCAGTGTTCTGAGATCCAAATTCAGAGATCATTGTTCCAAATTCTGTGATCTGAATTCTGAATTCAATGTTCCAAATTCTGTTTTCTATGTATCTAGTTCAGTATTCCAAGTTCCAAATTCTGTTTTGCTTAATTTCCAAGTTCAATGTTCCGAATTCTGAGTTTCGCATTCCAAGTTCAGTGTTCTGAGTTCCATGTTCAGAATTCCAAATTCCGTGTTCCATGTTCAGAATTCTGAGTTCCATGTTCCAAGTTAGGTGTTCCGCATTCTAAGTTCAGTATTCCAAATTCCGAGTTTCATGTTCCAAGTTAGGTGCTCTGAATTCCAAGGTACAAGTTCAGCATTCCATGTTCCGAATTCAGTGTTCCAAGTTAAATGCTGCATTCAGTTTTTTAAGTATCAACGTATATACACCAACCTCATTACACAACCTTTTCACAAAGAACGTTTGTTGTAAAAATATGAAACAAATAAAGCTTTTAGAGGAAAAAAAAGAAAACGGAAGTCTATCATTGTCCAATGAAGTGAAAGAACATTTTCTTACGTACACGTACAAAGGTCACTGCGTGTTCGGCAGCCAATCAGTAGACGACTTTACAGCGAGGCTCGGAACGCGTACGTTGTTCCTGCGCTCTGTTCCCGGTGTGGAAAGTGAGGGAAGATGGCGAAGCATCATCCAGATTTGATATTTTGCAGGAAACAAGCCGGAGTGGGTGAGTCTCTCGGGGACCGGGAGTGAGAGGTGGGCTGTCTGGGATGAGCCCGGTGCTGGGATGGTTCTCAGGGTCTCTGATTGTAGTCAGGCTCTGCTGATGTGATATACATGTGGCGCCTGTAACTTCCTTTCATGATGAATGCACGTAGCTCACGAGTTATTGTAATTGAATAGAATCTCTGGCCGCCATCACATATGTGGGCACCGTGGTGGGTTAAGTGAACCTTTGGTCTCTGGTTGTCTATAGTTTATGCCCCCCCCCCCTTTTGTACCGCAGGAGTACTACTGCTAGGGCTGTGTGAAGTCCAGGGCAGTTGTTAGCAGCAGCAGATTCTATCGTAAGGAGGATGGGGTTTGGGCTGTGTTAAAGAAGCTGAGGTATACCGGCAGCAGTACATGCCAGTTATTGCCCACAGCCCAGAGTCCCTACATATCGGGGGACTGTGATCCTTCCTACAGCTGCTGACATTATCCAATGCTTCAATAAAAGAATGACTACAGCAGTATAATGAGCCTCTAAGGCAAGGTATATGCCATACACATGTGATGGACCATGTGTGCCCATTCCTGCGTGTCGGACAATATATTGTTTAATTGGGCTGCCCTTCACAAGAAATACACAAAACAAGTCCCTGACCCTTTCCCAAAATTGCAAAACCCCAAACCGCGTGCTGCAGTGGTACTATGCAGCTTGGCGTGCACTAGCAGTTGTGTGGGGGAGCAGAAATGCACAACATGTGACCCTGTATTCATATGCAGTGTTCCATCTGAATGAGGCCTCGGTCACACAGGCTCCCTGATCTGTACACCCATGCAGAGGGCTGTGTTGATGCACCTGGGAGGTGCCCATGGTCTAGACCTATGGTCTCCAAACTGTGGCCCGGGGGCAGGATGCGGCCCTTAGCTTGCTTTTATCCGGCCCTTGGGGCATTATTCCCCCCCCCCCCCCCCCAATCAGCAAAATTGGGGGCACTGTTCCTGCCACTGACACCAATGATGGGGCACTGTTCCTGCCACTGACATTAATGATGGGGCACTGTTCCTGCCACTGACACCAATGATGGGGCACTGTTTACTCCCACTGACACCAGGACATTTTCTTCTCCCACTGGCCAAAGTCTGGCCCCCCTAATGTCTGAAGGATAGTAAACTGGCCCTTTGTTTATAAAGTTTGGAGACCCCATGGTCTATACAGCTGGGTGCAGTCAGACTGTGAATCAGTAGCTGGCAGGTAGTTTGCTGTGTCTGCCTTTTATTGATTTTGACAGGCTGCTAGCAGTGGGCTTTACATACCTCCTGTGCCTCCAGTGTGCCAAACTATATACAAGGGGCATTGAAGTCAAACCGGAACTTTTAATTTTACAGGTATAAAAAGGGATGCTAGCGTGGCGATACTATAAGCAGTAGTAAGTGGCAAGTGTGTCCTATTACTGATAGGCGGCACACACGTCGCAGGCCAGTCCTGAGAACGTTAATCAAGATGGCAAACAGTCCGTGCGTGGAACAGCGTATGATGTAGGTTCTTGTGAATGAAGGCGTAAGACCCTCAGTTATTTGCAGAAGACGTCAAGCACAGTACATTGATGAGCTCAGCCGCAGTAAGACATTTGAATGGTGTAAGCGTTTGAAAGATAGCTGTACATCCGTTAGTGACGGTCCTGGCTGTGATGGTTCCCTGACCACAGCAGTCATTCCTGTGAGCATTCAGCACCTGAAACGCCCGTTCCTGGATAACTGACACCTAAGCTGTCGTGAAATTGCACAAGAGACGAATCTTTCTGTGGGAACAGTGAACTAAATGATGACAAAGTGAAGCAGGCTGTCCTGGGGAGGGTCAGGCGTACTGACAAATCTTTCTATGCCGACGCTTTCCAGGCATTAAACGCTAGGATAAGTATATAAATGTAGCACGGGAGTATGTCGAAAAAAATATATAGTGCTTGTATGTGTATATATACAATTATTTTTTTTTTTCTATGCTGCATGCGTATAGCACTAAACATATATTTCTGGTACACAGCATGGTAAAGTTCTTTACAAGGGAATTAATTTTAGATTTTAATGTAAGTAAGAATGAAAATGCTTGTTTCGAACTTTCCATTCAAATGGAACAGTGGGGACACCATAGTTTTTAGTGGAAGACAGCGTAGCACTGTGTTCTAGCATTTAGGGCCAGTTCACACTAGAATGCGGTGTGGGAAAGGCACATTCCATTTACATTTCCTGCATTGCCCTCAAAACACACTTCCTTTGTGATCTGCTTTGGGTGACAATATAATGTTAACAGCACCCCAAATGCAGATCGCAAACTGTACGTTTGCAGGCACCAAATTAGAGCACCGCTTTACCATGCAATTTGGTATGGCGCATTTTTAAAAGTAGTGCATGCGCTACATTGTCCATGTTCCAGTGCGATTTCAGCCTGTTCAAATGAATGGGCTGCAAAATCCATTGCATGGGAGCACCTGCCGTGCGTTTCCTGTGTGATCCCGGTGTGAATGGGCCTATATATTTCAGGCATTTCCTGTGTTAGTAACCCTTTTATTCTGACAATTTTTTTTTTCCAGCTCTGCTAAAAATGTTCTTTTGGACTAAAAATACTTATAACCCTGAACATTTTTATTAATATTTTGTTGCCATAAAGAGATGGCAGTTGCAAATAATCTTTTGTTAAACAGTTGTGCAAATACTGTGCATCAAACCTGTATTTCTAGTAATACCATTTGGGATTATATTGTGTTTGCATATTTTAAGTGTTGTTGCAAAGGGTCTTTATATTAATGTCAATGTGATAGTTCTGCTTTTTTTCTTTTTAATAAATTCACAGACCTTTCTAAAATTCTGTTTTTCACTTTGTCATTATGGGGAACTAAGTGTAGAATGATTAGAATGAAAAAATAACTTTAAACTGTAGTATCAGGCTGCAAAGTGAGGTGGGGTCTGAATACTTTATGAATGCACTGTATATGTGATCTCTAAAGTGTTACTTAAAGTGTTACTAAACCACACCACCATAAAATCAGTCTGTATATGTAGTAAAGCATGCTCACTGTGCAACCTAAGGGGTTATTCTTCTGCATTGTGTAAAAAAAAATAAAAAAGCCATTTGGTCCTGACCTCTCTGCCCCTCTCCTCTTGTTCAAATGTCCATGTCTTATCTCCTGATCAGACAGTCTGAACCCATAGCCCTTCTGCACATGCTCAGTTTAGTGTATTGCTAGAGAGATTTTTCTTTTCTTGGGAGATTGCATGTGATCAGTACAGGGCCAATCAGCACTGTCCAGACAGTGGGTCACGGGTTTTGCATCCTCCTAGAGCAGAAAGAAAACTCTTCCTACAAGCTCCTACTTAACTAGTGCTCTGCTGAACACTGGTAGAAGTCACAAGACTGCTATATACTGCTGAAGAGAAAAGGTATTTTAGCAGTTTATATTTACTAAAATAATTGCACTTCCATGTTCTGTGTACTGTGGGAGACCATATATATTGAATGCAGGGTCCTGGGTTTAGTAACACTTTTTAAAGCAGTTGTTTCTAAACAAAGAGTTTACTGTCCTTCAGATTTCAGGAGGGCTGGACAGTGCCCAGTGGGAGTAAAATACCCCCATCTTTGGTATTAGGGGGAGAAATGGTACCCCATTGTTGGTGTCCACAATAATGCTTCAAGGGCCGGCAAGCAAAGGGCCACAACCAGGCCACAGTTTGCAGACCATTTCTTTCAAGTGTTACTTAACACTAGGTGTTTTATGCTTGGATGCATTGTCTGCATTACGATAAGGTACTGAAGGCAGCAGAGCACTAAGCTTCTCCTGCCATCCGTACAATTGCTACGAGGAGGAAGAAGAGGCATGACCTGCTGTGCGCAGTTCATTTGTGGATGCTCGCAGCACTAGATGGGAGTGTGCACTGCTAATCAAGGAGACACCCACAAACAGGGAGGAAATTTAACAGCTTGGGGACCAGCCACAGGATGAGACCAACAGTGATAATTGTAAAAAAAAAAATAATCCTCTCCTGTAACTGTGGACACCTTTACACAAGTCTAATCAGGCTCAGTTCCCAGCACAGCTAGAGAACTGGCCACGCTGTGCTCTCTTGCCTGTTGTGATTAATTTTTAATAGGAAAGCAGAGGGGCTGGCAGGAACCAGGGAATTCATATAAAGGAAGCAATACAAAGAGAACAGGGTACTTTTTTTTTTTTTTTTTTTTTTTTTTTTTTTTTTTTTTTTTCATACAAGTACATGGTACAGCAGGCACATATCAGGAATATGAAAGGTTGGGTTTATATATTCTTTAAGTGCAGTTCTGCTTTTGCAATCAAATTTGGGTAACTTCCACTATTTGTTTTTATTCACACAACATACCTAATATGTCTTTTTACAATTTTTTTAGTTTTCCTTAGAGCAAGGCTATGTGCTCACTGCAAGCTACTCTGAGCAATTTGAAACCTCCATTTTTTTATTTATTTTTTTAAATCTTTAGAATAGAGCAAGTAAAAATGTTAGGAACAATTGTCCGCTGTTAGCAGCAAAAGTGGAAATGCGTCCCCCTGTCCGAAAAAAAGACAGTGGGGAAGATTCCTGCATCCACAAAGAATATGTGGATGGGGGAATCGGTTCAGTTTTTGTTCAGCCCACTTGCTGATCAAAAAAACGAAATGGTGTATTTCCAGCTTAAGAAGGAATGAGCAGAAAATCATCTAAGCTAACAGTTATCAGAAACTTGGTTGCAGTTATTTCTGCCCAAGGGAGCACACCAGTTGCTAAAAGCAAAGGTTTAATGTACTTTTGCCAAACACAAATGGGTACATTCACTTTGATTATTTTCCTTTATATACAGTAAATAAGCATTATCTGTTTGACTCCTTTGTTTCATTGGGTTCTTATGATCTAGTTGTAGGACTTGTGTGGAAAAACATCACATTTTAGGTCCTATTGTAAAAATATTGAAAGCTCAAAAGGGTGAGGGTGAAGCACACAGCAGGTTGTAAAATTACTTCTGGTATGGTTGTAGGAGAGTTGGCGTCTTTCAATTTGCTTTAGTTTGAGAGGTTAAAACAAAAATGAATGAACATTTTCAGAATACAGTTTCTCTGATTTAAAGATTTTGATTGAAGAAAATATTTTTTTTGTGTTTTTATAAGAACATTTTATGGGTTTATAAATGCTATAGTCATAGACTAACCTTTTGTGTTTTGTTTGTTTTTGTTTTTTTGTTTTTTTTTTTTAGCGATCGGAAGATTGTGCGAGAAATGTAAGTACTGTAGTAATTTCTTTATAACTTATACAAATTGTATACTTTAAGAGAAGGTCTTTCTGCCGAACTGGTCCATCCGGAAGAAACGCATTGGGATATTACAAAAAAATTGGCAGCTTTAGCTGCAAATGCACTATATTGCCAAAAGTATTGGGGCGCCTGCCTTTACACGCACATGAACTTTTAATGGCATCCCAGTCTTAGTCCGTAGGGTTTAACACTGAGTTGGTCCACCCTTTTCAGCTATAACAGCTTCAACTCTTCTCGGAAGGCTGTCCACACAGTTTAGGAGTGTCTCTATGGGAATGTTTGACCATTCTTTCAGAAGTACATTTGTGAGGTCAGGCACTGATGTCGGACGAGAAGGCCTGGCTCTCAATCTCCACTCTAATTCATCCCAAAGGTGTTCTGTCGAGTTGAGGTCAGGACTCTGTGCAGGCCAGTCAAGTTCCTCCACCCCAGACTTGCTCATTCGTGTCTTTATGGACCTTGCTTTGTGCACTGGTGCGCAGTCATGTTGGATGAAGAAGGGTCCATCCCCAAACTGTTCCCACAAAGTTGGAAGCATGAAATTGTCCAAAATGTGTTGGTATGCTGACGCCTTAAGAGTTTATACTTGGCACAATGCAGTCGGGTAAGTACTGTTCTCCTGGCAACCGCCAAACCCAGACACGTCCATCAGATTGCCAGACAGAGAAGCATGATTCGTCACTCCAGAGAACACGTCTCCACTGCTGTAGAGTCCAGTGGCAGTGTGCTTTACACCATTGCATCCGACGCTTTGCATTGCACTTGGTGATGTAAGGCTTAGATGCAGCTGCTCGGCCCATGGAAACCCATTCCATGAAGCTCTCTATGCACTGTTGTGCTAATCTGAAGGCCACCCGAAGTTTTGAGGTCTTTAGCTATTGACTCTGCAGACAGTTGGCGACATCTGTGCGCTTCAGCATGTCCTGACCCCACTCTGTCATATTACATGCCATGCCGCTTCGTGGCTGATTTGCTGTTGCTCCCAGTTGCTTCCACTTTGTTATAATACCCCTAACAGGTGACCATGGACCATTTTTAGTAACAAGGAAATTTCACAGATGGACTTCTTGCACAGGTGGCGACCTATCACAGTACCATGCTTGAATTCACTGAGCTCCTGAGAGTGACCCATTCTTTCACAAATGTTTGAAGAACAGTCTGCATGCCTAGGGGCTTGATTTTATGCACCTGTGGCCATGGGGGTGATTGAACCCTGAATCTAATGATTTGGAGGGGTGTCCCAATACTTTAGGCAATGTAGTGTATATCATCCCGTAGAGAATATCGTGCTGTGCAATGTATGAGGCCCAAGAGTTACTACAGATACTGAAAGTATATCTTTTATATAGTGACTGATATTTTGTATGAAGCCCCCACTGCTTCACTACCATGCCTAAAATGCCATACATGAGAAACTGCACTGTGTTGTAAATTTTCATTAAAAGAACACTACATAATGAGGTTCAGTCTCAAAATGGTTAACCTTGTGTATTAGAGCTATATTGCTGTGCTGTTTAGACAGTCGTACTGTGTTTGGCAACAGGGGACTTCTGCATGACATTTGCGAACCAGTTTATCTACATAACTGGTACCACCCTATACATGGTATGTGTCATGTCTTTGAACTATTTGCGTTTATGTTTTTATCCATTATCACAGTATAAATCTCTTGCATGATTTTCTATATAGATTGTGTGATCACCTGTTGAGGCAGAGGTTTGACTTCTTGTATGATGATGCACTGCAGCTCCACCCCTGACCTGACACCTCCCACACACTGGCAGCTTCATCATCCTGCAATCCTTTGTTTTGAGCCTCTGACCTAAAAAAAAAAAAAAAATCTCTCTCTATATCTATATCTATATATAATTTCTATAAAAATAATCACAATTCGGCTTGGCTGAAAACACTAGGTAATGCATCTGCAAATCAAAACTGTATTTAATGTATTGCTGGCAGGACAGCATACATTTATTTGCATTATATTGCATTCCTTTTGTCATGCATGGAAACTTTTGAAGGGCCAATACGTTTCACTGTATGGTACTTTTGAAAAAGTTTAAAACTTTTTTAAAGATTTGTATGATCATGCATAATAATGCTGTACACTTCATCTACACAATATTTTCTAAATTTAAAAGTTTAATTTCTTTCCCTTATTTACATTTTCTTTTGTAGGTGATGGAAAGTGTGTAATATGTGACTCCTACGTACGCCCCTGTACACTAGTGCGCATATGTGATGAGTGTAACTATGGATCTTACCAAGGACGATGTGTGATTTGCGGTGGCCCCGGCGTGTCAGATGCTTACTACTGCAAGGAGTGCACCATTCAAGAGAAAGATGTGAGCAATTCAGCAGAGAACAATGAGCTTTGGTTTATTGCGTGCTTACTGTGCAGCTGAAAAGCTAAGTTCAAACCCCCCCAACTAAAGTGCAGCTTCCCTGTGTATCGGTATACCGTTAATATACCTCCTTTGCAGAAAAGATAAAGTTTTCCCTATGTTCTGCTTCATCTCAGCCTCTGCTTTCTCTATATAAAACTCCTTCATGACTTCTGCTATCTGTCCTATGGGACAGCAGAACAGTTAGCAGAGCAAGGAAGTTCTACAGCAGCAGATGCAATTGCACCACACCCTGCTCCCATGATCTATGTCCTGCCCACCTCTTGAAGTTATATACTTCTCCAATGTATTTATTGTCAATAGGTACCATTCTCCCTCAATACACAGCCAGTGTCACATACAGTGTCCTCGTTTTGCTGATTGGATCATTTTTGTGCCTCTCCTTATCCCTGCACAAATTGTTCTTTTGGCAAAGTGAGCACAGTGGAGCAGAAGGAACTGAGCAATTGCACAACAGGATATGTGGAGCAGAGCTTTAGTATTGAAAACTGGCTAAGTGTGTCCCTGGAAGTCTGTAAAAGCTCACTATACAATCTGATTGTACACTCTCCTTTAGATCTATAATCGACTATGTAGACAAGGGCCTGCCTGATTGGATAGATGGGTTTGTCCTTAATAATTTTGGTATATCTATAAAGGAGATTGTACAGATTTTATAGTGTATGGCCACTTTATACACCTGAAATGATCCAGTGTACATGTGCCCATAGGGAGTGAGGAGAGACAGCTGAGTGAAAGATTATCTGATCTTTTTCCCCTGGATTTAGGTTTTCACATTACAATTTCTGCTGCAATGACCAGTTTAGACCCTTGCACTTAAGTGTTTAGCTCATGCTCATTAATTAGCAGATTTGGATCTTCTTCAAATGGGCTCTGAGACCCATCCTCTGTGCTTTAGGCTGTATGAAGATGTAGTGGCTGCACAGATGAATTTTGACATGTGACTGTGTTGGTGCAGCCACTGTATCTGCATCCCCTTCTATAGGCTACCTGCGCACAGCTCCAAGGTGGCCACATTACATAGTTAAGGCATTAAGTACCAGGAAGATTTTACAATGAGGCTGCATGCACATCTGCACATTCATGGAACATATGAAAACAACTGGTGCTGTGCTTGTGGTGCTATTAGGTAATGGCAGCCCAAATGCGACAAAATGTGCAGTTAAAAACTACAAACCACAACACGCCAAAATGCTCCATGAGCTACTTTCCTTAATTTTTTTGTGTGCTGGGCAGCCTTTTGAAATCAATGCGCTGCCCTCTGTGTATTGCGGGAAAAACACGCCATGTGTAGTCACACTGCGCTAGGTGTGAATAGTGGCAGTGTATGGTCACTTTAAAGGAAGAAGTAGGAAAGTGTTGGAAATAAAAAGGTGGTATAGTAATGAGGGAAGAGGTGCAAAAGCGCAAAACATAGACTGTAATCAACCTTTTTTGGTAAAAAAAAAAAAATGCTGCTAAACGCGAATACAAAAACGCTACAAACTACAGAAAAACTCGCATTACCAGCGATCTTAAACCGCCCACTGTGCATGGAGCCTTACCAAAAATCAGAGTGTGTGTGGTGTGTTTTTTGTTTTTTTTTTTTTGTTTTTTTTTTTTTTTTTTTTTTTTTTTTTTTTTTTTTTTTTCTTTCCCCACCGGTTCACATATATGCGGGCTGTGTTTTGCGCAGGCATGAGAGCCCATTCATTTGAATGGACTCCCCTGACACGCAGAGAAGAAGTCTCTGCACTTCTGAAAACGCAGCCCTCGGTTTCCAGTACGGTTGCGTTTGCCAGTGCGGGAACTAATGGCACACACATTTTTCTCTGTGCGGGTGGTGCGGCTGTGCGGATCTGCAGCGGCACCACCTGCACAGATGTGAACCTAGCCTTAATGAAACTTCTGCAACTGTCAATGGGTATCAGCTGTCTCAGGCTGAATGCCTCCATAAGACTTTCACCTTTTCCTATATATGATAGAATTCACGTCAGGGCTTATAGAAGGTAATTTCAGAAAAGTCTGGTGTTTTGTTCTTTTGCTTTTCTTAGGTGGTTCTAGCTGTGAGTTTTTGGAAATGCTGTTGGAGGACCCATGACCTAATACAGTTTTCTGGACAGCAGCGTGCTTCATTCCAGAATTCCTTGATGGTCTTCAGATTTCATGGTGTCCTGTGTTGATTTGGGGCACCCAATGCCAGATGTAGCAAAGTAGCCACAAAACATAACCAAGCCTTCTGCATTTTTGGGATTTTTCTTTTGAAAGCTTTTTTTTTTTTTTTTTTTTTATCTGTAAACCTAGAGCCGATGTGAGTTGTCCGAATCCTCCAGTTTTATATCTTCTGTTCAAAAGGACATTCTCAGAGAAGCGTTGTGGCTTAGTATGCATTTTGTCAAATAACAGTCTAGCTTTTTATAGAACGTGGAATCCTCCTGGGGTGTCTTTCTTTGAGCCCCAATGTTGCTGAAAAAGCAACAGATGCGCCCGGGCACTCAGAGGTTTTCCTTGGCTCATTGTCTACCATTCTCACTATCTTTCTGTTCAATCTGGGGACTATTTTCCTCTTGTGGCCATGTCCAGGGAGGTTGGCTACACTCCAATGGACCTTGAACTTCTTAATTGTATAATAATTGCAACTGTAATCATAAAGCTACTAGGAGGTGGTATAGCCTCTTGACATGTGGGCCTATATGTCTTTCCCCCCCCCCCCCCCCCTTTTTTTTTTTTTTCTTTTTCTTCTTCTTCTTCTCTCTGATCTCAGACAGCTCTTTTTGCTGGTCCTTGTTTAGTGTGGTGCACACAATGATTACAAATAGCAGCATTACTACTTTCTCTCTATAAAAGCCCAATTTCAACGCTCCAGCATTCTCCTCTTTTTCTGGCGCAATGGGCGATCCTTCAGCGTCAACATACAATGCAGGGCTGTCCCACCTGCCATCAAAAGCAGACAGAGTTGTCATGCTTGGTGATCAACAAGTGTGGTGATCATGGCACTCGTAGCTTGAAAACTTGCACAGAGTGCTGGAGGAAGAGTCTGCTAGAGCCTGGCATTGCATCCACAGTCCACTGGCTGCAGGTGCAATGCTTTACTGGCTGCAGGTGCAAAATAAATGCACACAAAAGTTATATTTTTTCTTTTGTTTAAAGCCATACTTTGGGCTTTTAATTTAAATGGACCCCCAGGAGGCAATAATTGAATCGCTTTTAATCCAGAGGTATCCTCTGCAGTACATTTATGCCACAAGGTGTGTATGTCTGTCTGTCTGTCTCAAGGCGCGTACAATCCTATTTTTCTTATGATGGATACTTGAGTAATCGCGTGGGCAAGGAGATGCACACCAACACCCAAGGAGCTATTTGGGTTTTTGCCTCAGTGCTCGGTAGAAAAAGTATTGTGATTTGAATGTTTGTTGCTGGAATACACCGACACATAGCTGTGGTAAACACACTCTGATCCACATGTTTGTTGTTTCTGGTGCATGGTAAAATTGGTCAGTATGTGTTTCATGTTCATTCTAAATCTGTTTGCACTGTTGACTCAATCACCATCAAGGGTGACTGCCAGTTTATACAGTTATCACATAGCTGTTACTATTATATTAGAGTAACTTATAAACTGCATATGCATCACCTGTCAATGTAAGTGGTAATGTTTTATTGTAATCTTTTCTTCCCATGGGAACAAATCTGTTTTTAAGCTGCAACTGGATCTAAGCAAACAGCAGAACGATTGTATAATTTGCCCTTTCTTGCTTTTGTCACATGTTGTAATTTTTTTGTATGTTTTTTTTCTATTTATCTTTCAGAGGGATGGTTGTCCTAAAATTGTGAATTTGGGCAGTTCGAAAACAGATCTTTTCTATGAAAGAAAAAAGTATGGATTTAAGAAGAGGTAGTCCAGAAGCTGAATCACTGTCACAGTAGCGTTTTTGTTAAGTTTTGTGGGAACCGTTCCTATATTATGTATTGAATTGGATCAATAAAATGTTTTTACAACAAACTGCTTTGTGGTGCACTTTTACTTGTATAACTATGTTCAAACAATTCTTTTGCTGGCGTTCTTTAATTTCTACTACAAAAGACGAGTGTTGGACAAACACATTTGGGGGGGTTAGTGGGGAGGTATTAGTAGACGCCCTTTTTAAAATTTTGTTGGCCACTGCACTGAAAGTACAACAGTAGTTTAAACTACCAGAATTTGTGTAAAATGTTTACTAAAACTTGCTTGCCTGAATTGGGTGCAGATGGTTCTGAAGGCACCTACTGTCAGAATGTGTTGTGTTGTAAATTCTTTATCAAATTTTTCCTGTCATTTTTAGCCCTTAAACTGTCCATTTTAAACTTTTTCCGACAGAGCAATTTTTAAGCTTTTCTAAATTGTTCTACTAGAAAAATTACTTTAAACCTCCTTTTCTTAAAGCAGAGGTGCTGTAGAATGAAATAGCGGCAGCTGCATTTTTTTATGTCGCATGATATTTGTGTAACTGTTAATCAAACACATTTCAGAACAAAGATACACTAAAATGAAATTTAGTGCATGCAAACACAATATAATACCAATTTTTGGTAAAATATAAAAGAATGGGGTTCAAGGAAATGGCATACAGGGTACACAGCGCTCAAGGCTAACCTGACAGAAATCCCATGCAGCTGGATGTGTCTGTGTGCCTGCTTGATCCGCAACTACGATCGGTGAACATGAGGAAAAGAGGTAGTGGCACTCCAATATACAAACAGCAGACTTTTTTTATTCGATCCATGAAGAAAATGTTGCCTATGGACAATTTTGGGTACTAAGTATTTTTTGTTTTGGGTTTTTTTTTTTTTTTTTTTTTTCTGTGTTGCCTCAGTTGGATTACTTTTGGATGCCCCAAAGGTTACAGACTTTGTGTCCCTAAGTGGACAAAGAAGCAAATTTTCGTTTTTTGTACTTCCTGCACAATCCTTTCATGAAGTCCATTGAGGGACACTGGGGTCACACTTCTTTTGTTTTTATTACCCTGGTCTCTACTGCATGCTACAAACTGCATGCTGGTAGTAGAAGTTTACTCTTTGGTGTACACGTTCTGGTTTCTGTAATGTAATACTAAAAGGTAAACTGTACTTTAAGTTACATGTAGGATTTGGGGAGGTAATATTAGAGGTTGCAAAATCTGGCGCAACTCGACCCCGACCCCCCCCCCCCCCCTCAGCTTAAACTGAACAAGCTGAAGTTAGAAGCTTGGCTGCACCAGATTTTGTACTCTCTAGTTTTAGTCGATCAACCCCTCAATGTTCCTACGTTTATTGTACATCTCACTGGGAGCCACATAGCCTCCCCACCAAAAATCTCCCTGCATGAAGACCTTTTCTGTAGTAGAAATGGGGATTCCACTGTAGATGTACATGCTGGCTTGGTTGTGCTGAACAGGCTACAAAGTAAAGATCTAGGAGAACGAATAGCCAACTGTATGCTTTGGGTATGATGTAATGGGGGAGGGTGTATGCACATTTGCCAACAACATTCACTGGTATTTAACAATCTGAGTGTGGAGGACAAATGCTGGAAAATAAAAATGAAGGAATTGGGTGACTCTAGTAAATAAGGCAAAGCAGCAATGCTCCTTTTATCCTTTTTTTCATACCTTGGACATTGATTGTACCCATGCCACCCAGTCTTTGAATCAACTTAACACAACCCCATTCTATCTCAAACCATTGCTGTTATGTTTGAGGTCTGCAAGTTGCAAGTATTCATTAATCACTCCTACAGGACACCTTCCCCCACATATGCCGCCAACTCAAGTAATTTGACAACTGACCCATGTCATCACATTTTATCTCTTTACCCCTATACCCCCCCCCCCCCCCAACAGTTTAATTCTGTCCTGATCTTTTACAGTTTGCACGCCTCTTTTTCCCAACACACCCCATCCCCACATGCTTTTGCTCCATTCGAACATTCCCCCAGATGTAACTCCCTGACCCCAATACCTAATGACCTCAAATGCAGCACCATCAATGTTAGGAGTTTAAACACACCTGAGAAGATCTCAATTCTCATAAGAGACCTTTGCAAATGAAAAGGCAACATTGCTTTCATACAATATAATGCAGCTCAACCAAGATAGGATCCCTGAACTGATGAACAATTGCTTCCAAAACTAAGGGTATCAGGCATGCTGATCTCCCCCTAGGTATGCTTTCAATTTTTAGCCAGAGAACAGGATAATTATGTAGAATTCTAATCAAGAAAAATCTGAATGACTGCCTCACAACTCCTAGCAGCTTTATATGCCCCCAATTCAGATCAGATCTTCCTATACATATTTTGGAAGTATATTCATTCATTTTGCAGAGGGGAAACATCGTTATCTAAGCTAACACAAACACCCCCCAACCCTGGGAAATCATCACGTTATTTCTCAGACATTAGTGATATTTAAGGTTTAGATTCTTATTTACATAGATGGTAAGGTTGAATACAGACACCAGTCAATCCAGTTCAACCTATATGGTTGTGTGTGCTCATGTCAAAAATAATATCCCTGTATATTGTGTTTGCTAAGATGTCCATCTAAGAGTTGTTGTTTTTTTTGACTATCAATACTTCCTGCTGACAGTGAAAAAAACACTACGCAGTTTAAAGGTTAAGTTCACCTTTTGCACATAAACAATAAATGTGCATTTTCTTTGCCGGTAAAAAAACATGCATTTATTATTTTTGTCTGCAGGAGCCTGTAAAGTATTGTACCAGCGATCAGTAGATTTCTGGTGCCATGCAGGTCTCCTGCAGACCTGTAGGTATATCTGCTTGCCAGTAGTGGATGTACAGGCAAGCAGATATACTGAAAGGAAGATTCAGGCTAAGTTCACACTGATGTGGTGCGGTATAGCGCATGTGATTCGTACAGGAACCGCACCGCATTCCTGTGCAAATCACATGCGATTGGAGCCATACATTATGTATGGCTCAAATCGCACAGGACCCTTTTTTTTGGTTCCGCACTTGAATCTGATTGCATGGGTATTCACACCTATGCGATCTGATACTGCACATCACACCGTGTTTTGTGGACTGATTTCGGAGTGTTGTTAACAATTCACATCCACATTGGTTCACACGAACGGGGTGCGATTCTGATGTGGTGCAGAATTTGAACAGAAAATGCTGCGAATGCTGCATTGCAACAGTGTGAACCCAGCCTCAATGAACTACCACAGCCCAGTGGAAGTTAGTTAAAAACTAAAAGTCAACAGCCGCTAAGGCTGTCTGGATTTGCAGTTCATTCATTCACAGAACTTGTGCTGTTTTCAAATCTGACAGCTAGTATGGGGGAACTTCTCCCTGTACTTCTGTCAGAGGGAGGAGGAGGACAAAAGGCTGCGGCAGCAACATTGGGAACAATCTAAGGTCTCTAATTAACATTGATACATACTATACTAGAGCCAATTTAGACAGGAGCCAGTTAACCTACCAGCATGCCTTTGGAGTGTGGAATGAAACCCACACAGGCACAGGCACAACATGCAAACTCAAGGCAGGAGGTGACATGTTTGGGATTTGAACTGAAAACCCTAGTGCTGCCAGGCAGAAGTCCTATGCTCAAGGGTTACTGCACAGTTGATAATTTATTCTTGTCCTTTGACTTGCTCTGGCAGATCTCTGCGGTGACAATAATATCTTCATACATTTCTCTGATCACACACCAGTCCCCATTCTGCTCAAGCCTGCCACTATAGCAAATCCAGGATATGATGACACAATAACTATTTTCTTAAAAACCCAACCACCCAAGACACCATAACTCAGCCTCTTGAACCATACTTCACGATCAACAATACAACAGACATGACATCCTCCTCTCTGTGGGAAGCACTTACAGGCACCATCTGTGGCATGCTTCTAAAGCTAGGGACCAATTTGAAAACAGAATAGGAAGCTAAGGCTGGCAAACTACTCAACTGGATTGCATGACTGGAACTAAGCCATTGCTCAACAGGCTGACATCCTACAGTCTCTCACTGCAGCTAAAGAAGAGCTACAAAATTAAAGCAGAAATAAATCCTCCTATTGCTTACAGCCAAAGAAGCTGCCATCTTAGCCTATATGTGATCTGCAGTTGCCAATGTCCTGCACGTGATCAGCTATGACACCAGCCATTTGGTGGCTTGACAACAAGGCTGAGAGCTAACATATGCACACTTGTAAACGTAGCAGTCATAATCCAAGGCATTCCTTGAATGTAGCTGTTTTGGGAGAAAGTTATATTGCTGGATTTAGTTCCCCTTTAAGCATACTGCCGATAATTCAAATAAATATGAATTCAGAATCAAATGCAGCATCCTCCTAGCAAAATCCTTCAAAGAACAACATGCATCTTTTTTTAAAAGATATTTTTGTTGAAAAAGTTTTCATTTGTTATACATGGTGACAACAAACAATAAACAGGTTACAAACATAACTAATCCGTGCCTCCCATGTTTCTATAAGGTACAATGATGGTGAAAAAAATGACAGCGTATAGTAAGCATAATCTATATATAGATAGAGGGGACAATTGCTGATTGAAGAGCTTCACTACAATACCGGATGCAATAGGAGATAAGAGGGACCAGTATAATATCCTTGATCTAAAGACATCAGGGTAAGGGGGCTAGGCACCCATTTATGCCATATTTTATCAAAGTGATGGAGTTTCTTTCTTAGTTCAAAGGTGAATTTGTACAGAGGTAAACTATCATTTATTAATTTAAGCCAAGTGGTCAGAGTAGGATAAGTTGTTCCTTTCTAGTATGAAAGAATGGGTTTCTTAGCAAAAAAGTACAGTATATGTCAGGGCTTAAACAGGAGCGGACTGACAACTCATGGGGCCCCCGGGCAATAGGGGTTCATGCCCAAACTCAAAAAAGCCTA